ATTTGCAGAAGGTGGTGATGAATAATTAGTCACAATAAGGAAAAACATTTGTCACAACTTATTTCTTTGTATCAAATAGAGAAGTGTATTTGTTCTCATAAATAAAATATGTGCCCCATTTCCTATTTTGTGTATCAGAGAATATTAGAAAAGAGTTAAGGGGAAGAGTCAAGAAATCTCTGTATGAATTCTTTGGACTCCCTATGTTTTGTGACTTTTCAACAGACTAACTTTAGTGAGTTGAAGACTATCAGTAGGGATGCTTAATTAAGGAGCTTTGTCATCACGGGCTGATTTTTCTTTCTACAGTGAAAACAGTTAACTAATTTGAACAAATAGATCCTATTTATCAGAAGAGATGATATAGATGAAGTGCTTTTGCAAGACTTCTAGTGTAGTAAAAGTAGTAAGCAAAATAAAATTAGTCATTCAAGTTGGCTTCTTACATTGTTCCATTTTTTATTATTTAATTATATTTACTAAGTATATAGTAAATATATTGTAATGATTCTTTTACATAACCAAAGTTTAGCCTGGCTTTAATCAGGTGTGCATTTTCTTTCAAGCTTCCAATTGCATTTTGATGATTCCCTTAGATATTAACAAGTGATTGTTTTGCATGGTTTATATGGACTGAATCCTGCAGAATCCTTTGGTGTTTCACTTACTCTATTAATGCTTCTGTTTACCATTGTGCTAGTGGAAAATGAAGTTATATAATTGGAAACTGGTAAGATACTTTTATAGCTTCTTAGACTAGGATCATTATCTGCATGTCATATTGCACATTGAATTGTGATATAAAGTATTGAATTATAATATTTAGGTCAAGTGGCAACCAAAAATAGTTAAATCCTAGTCAACAATGACTTGCCGTAAAAATGAATACATTATTGAAAGACATTTCTGTAGCATGTAAACAATGTGTTCCCTTGTGATAACTATTGTTTTTCTCTTGTTCCTTTTTTATTTATTTATTTTTTTTATAATTTGCTGCTTGCCATTGCAGGAAGTAGAGGTTTGTATTCAACTTCTGTATTTCATATTTATTTTAGATTTTATTTGAATGCCTACATTTTAATTACTCATATACACTCAATCACATTATTTTTCCCCATAGGATGATTATTTCCGCACTTGGAGTCCAGGAAAAGCCTTTGACCAGGGTAAGAGTCTAATTATTTTAAATTAAAATATGTAGCATGGCTATAATCATTGTTTAAATGTGACATTTATTGTCTGATTGGGTTTAAAAATACTAAATAACAGCTTTCTTGAATGAAAAAATTCATGCATAATTACTTTCTTTGTAATATAATGTATTCAAAATAAGTTCGTTACTCATGATTACATTTTGTTTTAGATACATATTTTAGATATCGATTTGGACTTCTGAACTTTGCCATACTCACTTTTATAGTTGACTCAGGTCACTTCTTCCAGTTTTCAAGCATATTCAAGTGTAATAAAATAATTATTCAGTGTATTTACTTGCAAAATCTGTAGTTAAAATTCTAAAAATAATTTTGATTGCTAACGAATAAGTGAAAACAAATGCACTAAGAAAGAGGCAATGAGAAAATAATGACCTGCAGACTAGGTTATACACACACATTTTCTTGGGAAATAAATTACCATGGCAGAATTATAAACCTTGAAAAGTCAGTGTTGTATATGAAATTAATTTTAATACTTAAACTTGCCAGATATGGTGCATCCAATTGCAATAAAGTTGCTTTAGTTTTTTTTTTTTAATTTATGTGTTTATAGAGGTGAGAGAGAGAATGTGTTGAACAGCAATTTATCTCTTATCAAACTTTAAAATCCTGATATTCTGTAAGACCAATTTTCTTTAATTTTCAAGAGGTTTATAATCTATTAACATGTTAACAATGTATTTATTATAAAGAAACTTATAATAGCTAATATTTATATTTTCCTATGTGTAGTCACTATTCAAACTATCCAGTATATACATTTGTTTAATTTTCACAATAACTTTGGCAGGTAGATGAAAAAGGTGAGGCACTGAATGACATGCAAAGTCATATTCATACAAAGATGCAGAGTATGGGTTTGAACCCAGGCAATCTGAGTCTTGAGCCCTGTTTGCTAATTACTACATTACTGTTTGCTTTTGCGATTGTCCTGAAATAAAATAATGACTTACTAATAGGGCTTTGAAGTTTATGCTGTAAAAATAAATATGTATTTGAATGAACATTAGAAACAGCTGGCAGATTTGTTCCTATATTTAAAAATAACAGTTCCTAGACTATCTGACCCTGAGGGGTTTTTTAAATGGTGCTATAATTAACATATTCATTCCACAAGTTTTGATGTGTTGAACATAGAGGCTGGATAAACATATTTAAGAAAGTTTTATATTAAAAAGTGGACAATTTTAATTTGAAATAAGTTTGTTTTCTTTTTTTTGGCTTTGAGATGAACTAGCCCATTTGAAGACCATGCTGAGGTAGAAGTAAAGTTGTCTTATTCTCATCTAACTCTGTAAGACAGTGAATCACTGGATAAAATTGACCTGAGATGTGTTCATTGTTGGTGCTTCTTGTTTTCTCTGATTCCAAAATAAATGTTTTTGTTAAATATTATCATCAAAACCCGATTGAACGGTTGAATATAAAACCATTGGGAAGACTTAGTTCTAATTTTGAATATATGTAGTTTTGGCATTTGGATATCGATGCAATATTCATAAGAGTTGATTGGTTTCACTTTTGGGGAGTGTTCTCCTATTCTATTTTATGAGAAGAGTAAAAAAGTGACCTTCATATTCTACATTTTGCATTTATGTTTGTATTATTTTACCATAGTCATTTAAAATTGTACTATACATCCATTTCAATAGAAAGTTCCATAAAATATACAAAAATTAAAAGACTATTAAAATATTAATTACTATTTCATAATATACCTCAGGATATAAATGACATAATTTCTGAGCACAAAGCCACCTACACATCGACATAAATGTGTGCACACATACATAAACATAGGTACATATTTATATACACAGACATACATATATATATATATATACCTGCAAACTTGCTTTTAGGAAAAATCAAGTAATGGTTCATATATAGTTCATCTTCTGGTTTAGCTGTGTCCAAGTTTTCATGTCATGTAATTTTCCTTTCGTTAGTCAGAATATTCCACTTTTTTAAAATCACTAAAATAGTGAGCAGTTTGAGGACAATATAATGGTTTCAAGTAAGTGTAAGTAAAACTATTTGATGATGGTAAATCTGCTGTAAAATTAAAGAAAGCATGTTGATGCCAAAAATAAATTGATTTGGATTTCTCCACATAGAATTTTCTGTGCCATTACTTTTGTTCATTAGTGTGGCTAATCATGAGTTGACACAACCAAAATTGACTGAAAAATAGTTCTAATGAGAACATGCATCTTCTTGAATACTGTATAAAATGCCTGTTTACTAGACAGTCTGAAGGGGGGGATGCATGGATAGAACTAAAGTGGTAATATGATATTTTAAATAATTTAGAAAGTGTATATAAATATGCTGTAGCTATAAAGAAATTCACTTCTTTCCTTTTTACCACCCTGCCTTGTTTTGGGGTCACAGGCTAATTTAAGTGTGTAAGTGATAAATCACTGAAATTGTTAGCTGTCATGCTTTACAGTTGTTTGGAGACCCAACTTGTACTTAAGTGCTATATCCACAAGGATCAGATTTTATCTCAAAATTATTTTCTTCAATGTTTGATTGTTAGGTTCCTTGAGATGAAAGAGTTGCAAGATGAATGTGCTTTCAGTATTTCCCTAATTTTACTAATCAGACCACTTTGGCCTTGCTCTACATGGTATCTTCCGAAGTCATAAATTACAATCATTAGACTAAAAAAAATGAAGTTGAATGTAAATTGACCCATCAATTTCAAGACAAGTCCGTTTCATGATATTCATGTGTACAGCTCATGTCTGAGGGTCTGGAATTAGGGACAGAATGTGAAGCTGTGGCTTAGATCAGCGTCTTCTGTCATTTCAAAGCACTAATTTTGTGCTCTCTTCCTAAATCTGGACCCCTCTGAGAAGGGCAGCCTGACTGACACTGGCAAGTGAAGTTGCATTTAATTCAACAAAAGATCATAAAGAAGTGGCATGCTGGGGGACCATTCATACCCCAAGCTTCTCAGAATCGAGTCAGGACACATACACATATGAACCACTAACCTTGTATCTACTGGACTCTTTCCTGTAAGGATTGGAGAGGGGTGAGACAAAAAGACTCATTTCTTTGAAAGACCAGCTTCAGGCTTAGCATATACATCCCCATTGTTTCTGGCTTTTCAGGAGTGTTTCTAAGAGCTTTATGTGGTTTCCATCATTTTCCCCATCCATTTGCAAAACATCTCACATCTACCAGTAGCCAGTGTGACCTGTGCCTTTGTAGTTGATCTCTGGCTACAAAGAGAAAGCTGTTGAGATTTCATCATGGCTTTTATTCCCTTCAATGAACAGAGCAGTTCAGTATTATGGCTGTGATTATTTCTGACATTGAAAGAGACCAGTGATTGAGATAATGGACTTCCAACTTATCTTTTCCTCCTTTGGATATATTATCATGCTTTTCAAGCACAGTGTATGTAGGTTACACAATGTAGATATTGCTTCTTTTCCAGATGCCTTTAATTTCCACTTGTTTACATGAGGATCATGTTTTGCATATTTTCCCCCTAGTATTTAGTGATTGTAATCTGAAACAATAGATAGGTCTGATCCATGCTTCACAATAGAGGCCTGGTAGTATCACAATGGGGCTTTGTTTAAGAAATGGGAAGCTTTTAGCATTTTTCTAGTGGAAAAAATTGGTGTTCTTAGAGTTGAGATTCAGTGGGGGAAATACACAAGGATGACTCCATGCCTTCAATATTTAAAAAAAAAATGCTTTCAATTGTTTCAAAATGAAAATCTATACTATTATTTGATCTGAACCCTTATTTGGTCAACTGACTTGGGACTTTTGTATGTTTTAGACAAATTGCTTAATGGGTATTCAAGTGCAAATAATCATGTCGATTTATATTGCACCTTATTATATTGTCCATGTTTGGCATATTTAGGTTTTAGGAATTGTAATGCCTAATAAGAAACTGCATTCAACCTAGGAACTTAATGTGTGTTGACTCATCTCAGACGTAGTACATATAAAAAGAATTTTCCTAATTTATTTCCTCATCCTATACATTTTATTTCTTCATATAAAATATTATTTAAGTTATTTTATAGCATAGTCTATGAAGTCTAGGAATCCAGAATCATATCTTATTGTGTTATATGCCAGAGTGGCATATTCTCCAAGAACAATAAAGATTGCATGATATTCTGTGTTTTAAAGTTATAATTGAGAAATAAAGTATTTCCTTAAGTTGTACATCACATTCACCTACATAGTTGGACAAGAACGCAAATGATGATCATATCTTTTCAATGACCTGATGGGATACTAAATTCTGAATCAAATGAATAATAAAGCAATGGATTACTCCAATTTACTTTGATTATGTTAAAATATTTTACAAGTGACATTTTTATCTTAAACCATATTAAGCTTGCATAGTAATTATTACTAATATGAAGATTGAAAAGATTTATTTTTTATGCGTACAGAACTGGGGTACAGTCCAGAGGTGCAGGGGTGGCGAGAGAATTCACCAGAGACAGAGTGGGGAGCAGAACAGGCCAACTAATGAAGGACACTGCTGAGGGGAGCAGCGGGCAGGTCAGGAGAGGTCTGCCACACCATGTAGGTCACCTCCGGGGATGTGAGGGGGTGGTCGAACTCTTGCTGAAGTGGCTTTAACTTCTTAGTGCTGTGCTTTAACCTGCTACACCACCATGCAGAACCTTGCAGAGTGACTTTTAATGCAAGATAGGAGGCAGCATAATTTTAAGAAATTGTGTGACCTTGGTAATCAGATGTACTGGGTTTTATTCCGGGCTCACTCTTATTAGCTTGGCAAACTAGGAAACATTTATTAACCTCAGGTCAAAGGTAATGTCTGCCTATTAACATTTAATTTAAGCCCTGACAATTTCAAGAGATACTTAATAAAGAAGTAGAGGAAGAAGAGCAAAGGAAACCAATTAGGCTGCCATTAAAACTCAAGGTGTTTTAAT